AAAAATTTCCATTCCCAAGCGACTATAAATCATGGGCTCTGACACTCTGCCTTTGACTTGAACTTGAGCAGCTGTCATTCCGGAGGATACAGGTGTCAGCTCCCACACACCAGCCCGCCGTGCTTCCCGGACAAACAGCGTGACTCACCCACGGAGTGGCAGCCAGCCTGCAGAGCCGCGGCTGGGGCCCGCGGGGATTTCTGTGGGAATTTTCATGTCTTCTGAGCTCAGGCCGCACTGCTCCTTCTGACATGTTCCTTTGGCCCAGATGTTCGATGTGGACGTCAGAGGATCAGCTTGAGATTCTCAGCTAACCCCTAATCCTTGCCAGGGGGTGTCCAGATGGCAGCATCTCGGCCCACAGTGCACATGAGGGTTTCTTTGTTCCGCGGCCACAGAGCTCGTGTCTCTCTGAGAAGCAGCCACAGTCCTCGGCAAGATCCCTGCCGCCGCCGGGCGTGTGTGAGCTTCGGCGCCCTGACCTAAGCAGGGGAAGTGCCTTTTAAGCAGAAACATTTATACAGCTGGCCTCTCCCTCCTTCCCTCTCCCCACTGCCACCCCCCACCCCCATCTCTAATCCCCAGATAATTGCGGTGCAGCCTTTCGGCCGGGCGTCTTTCGGTTGCTGGCGTCCCAACTGAGGGACGCCGTGATTATTAACGAGCCAGCGGTCTTGGTGAGTTTGAAAATGTGCCAAAAGCCACTTTCCAGGGAGATTTCACATACTTTCCTCAAAATTGTCTGGCTTTTGAGTAGTTGTGGAAATGGCGGCCCTGTTGCCACATGAGGCCCGAGGTTAGGGGAGATTTTGCCTCGACGGATTGGATCGAACAAAGATCTGGGGGGAATGTGCCACGGAAGGGCCGTCTGTGACGCCGGGTACTGCAGTTTATGTGCCGGTGGAAAGTTCTGGCCTGGAAAAGAGGTAAAAGGCACGTGTTTAGGGTGTTGAGCGCCAGTGACGACTGTACCAGGTGCTACATGTGTTTTCACACATTGAACGGTCAAAACGTCATCGTTCTGGAGGAGGGGAGCCAGCTTCCCGCAGGGATAGTGCAGCCCGGAAAGGTGAAGTAACTTGCCCAGGGCCACAAAGTTACTACACATTCATTAAAATTTTTTTAATATTTATTTTTGAGACAGACAGAGAGAGAGAGACAGAGAGAGAGCACGAGTGGAGAAGGGGCAGAGAGAGAGAGGGAGACACACAATCTGAAGCAGCTTCAGACTCTGAGCTGTCAGCAGAAAGCCCGAAGCGGGGCTCGAACTTGTGAACCATGAGATCATGACCGAGCTGAAGTCAGACACGCAACATACTGTGCCACCCAGGCACCCCCCTCTACAGCCACTTATTTGTGCATTCATCTATCACATCAAAATTGTGTAGAGCCTCTGCTGAGTACCCAGTACCCCGGGCATGAGGACATCAAGATGAATCAGCTATGGGCCTGTCTTCACAGAGCTTCCCATCTGGCTGTAGACACAAATAAGTTGACAGTAGAGCTTTGTAAGCACCGTGACAGGTTGATGGATGCACGGGGCGGGGGGGGGGGGGGTTGTGGGGACATGGGAGAAGCCAGCCTTGTGATCGATTCAGGCTGGCCTGACCCCGAACCCCACACTTTTTCAGTGCAGAGAGAGACAGACACGGAGAAGCGTGCTTTTCCGTCCTATCCCACGCCCTATTTGTAACCCTCCGGTGTCTGATTCCTGCGTCCTCTCCTCCCCTCTGTCTCTGGGGGGCAAGATGGAGAGCATCACTCCTGGAAAACATCTCTATATTAGATTTCCAGCAAAGACTTGATGATTTCGATAGCTTTTTCCATGACCAACTGTCACCTTGCCTCCCCTAACCTCTTTTCACCCTGAATTCTCTGCCTTAGTGCCCCCACAGCCCAGCGGGGGTGCGAGATTAGAACTGGCCGGCTCTCTCAGCAACTCCCTCCCCACTCGCTCCCTACCCCCCACATCTGAGGATAGTGGTTCAACTTCAAAATCCCGCCGTTTACTTGGTCCTCACCATCACCGCGCCACTGCCTTGCATTGGACTTCTTCATCATCATCTGGGCATTGCAACTGAGACCTAAGTGATGGCCCAGTGTCCCCTTTCACCCACTACAAATGTTCCACACGGCCACGGGCACTGCCTTCTTAGAAAGCAATTTAGGTCACGCCATTTTCAAGCTCACGTGACTTTACACTGCACATAGACTGAGGCCAGTTTTCTTTGCATGATGTATCAGGTTCTTCACAGTGCAGCCTCGTCTGGTCCCTCCACCACCCGCCCCAGCCACCTGCAGTCTCTCCCTGGAGCCCAGATGCACCTCTCTCCCCCCTCCCTCTGACGCTTCACCCTCTGAGCCTGGGGTGAGGCCATCCCCTGCTTCTCAGCCCAGGAAACTCCTACTCATCCCACAAAACCCAGCTCCAATATTACCTCCTCTGTAGATGCATTTCTTTATTTCTCCAGAAGGTCTAATCATGTCATCCTCTGCGATCCTCCAGCCACACATTTATGCCTTTATCTTAGCACTTGTTATAATACATTGGCTTCATCCCTAGATATATATGTATCTTCTGACTGGACACCAGTTCCTCAGGGCCAAAGACTGTGTTTTATTTTTTATTCCCAACATCTAAACACAGGGTCTGCTACATACAACGTGCTCACTGAATATTTCTGCTGTGTTAACAAGATTTCCCATCATTCCTTTTGTCTGTGTTTATTGCCAGAGGCCTTTGGTGCCCTGATATTCTCTCTTCAGTTAGGTAACAGGAAGCAGAGATCCCCAGCAGAAAGGGAACCCTGGGGCTCTCTCCTTTATCCTTGGTCATAATTGTCCAACTTCAAAATAAATCCTGTAACACACCTAGTCATCAGGCTTATCATACTATCAAAGGGTGTTTGATGTTTTCAGTTGAAGCAAAAAAAAAAAAAAAAGGTGTACTTGCAGAAGTAGCTCCCATCGAATCATATGAATGGCGGACAAGCAGCCCCAACATGAGGAAGAAGGCCAAGGAAGGGAAGCCTCAGATCACCTGCTGCTAAATGGTACCAAGCCATTACTCTGGCTGGGAATGTTCCTATTATACAGAGTGTTGAGATACATTTCAATGGGCTGATGTCCTGGGGGAAGACCCAGTAATACCAAGACTGCCATTTATGGCTTAGAAGCTATGCGTTTTTAGATTTGTTGTTGATATTGTTGTTAAAGATTTTATGTTCAAGTAATCTCTACACCCAATGTGGGACTCAAATCCATAACCCCAAGATCAAGAGAGGCCCATGCTCCACTGGCCGAGCCAGACAGGCATCCCTGCAATTTTAGATGTTAAATGGCACCTCTCGAGGCGTCTGGGTGGCTCAGTCAGTTAAGCATCTGATTTCGGCTCAGGTCATGATCTCACAGCTCGTGGGTTCGAGCCCTGCGTTGGGGCTCTGTGCTGACACCTCAGAGCCTGAAGCCTGCTTCCGATTCTATGTCTTCCTCTCTCTCTGCCCCTCTCCCACTTGTGCTCTCTCTCTCTCTGTCTCTCTTTCTGTCTCTCTCTCAAAAATAAATAAACATTATAAGACCCGGCACCTTTCACCTGAGGTACCAGCATGAGAAGGATGAAAACGAGAAGTGAGGAAAAAAAAAATACTTTGACCCAGATCTGGATTGTTCCACTGCTAAAATACTTAGGTAGTGATAACAGATCTAAATGATTTGACTTCTCTAACAGTCTGGCTGAAAAAAAAAAAAAAAAAAAAAAAAAAAAAAAAAAAAAAAAAAAAAAAAAAAAAAAAAAAAAAAAAAAAAAAAAAAAAAAAAGAGACACAAAGGGTTGAAGCAGATGTTTTCAAAAATTCAAATTAGGAAAATTGAAAATGAATGACATTCCATTGAAATCAGCTAGAGACTTGGAGAGCTGTTCTGCTTGAGTCAATTTTTTTTTAACTTTTTAAGAAATTTTTATTTTGAGAGAGAGTGTATGCATGCATATGCATAGGGGAGGGTCAGAGGGTCAGAGAAAGAGAGGGAGAGGGAGAATCCCAAGCAGGCTCCAAGATGTCAGCACAGAGCTCTCATGAACTCTGAGATCATGATCTGAGCTGAAATCAACAGCCGGACACAACTGACTTGAGCCACCCAGGCACCCCTGCTCATAAATACATTGCATATTAAAATGCATCTAAAGCTTCCTACTGAATTGTATGACTCTGCATAAAATGGACTTTCTGTGGTTGTCCCCATCATCAAGGAATAGGAGAGGAGGATTGTTATAGATCTCATTGTTTTCCTAATTAAGTAACCGTAGCCTCAAACAGTTCAATTTTCAGTTTAAGGGGGATTATTTTCCAATTGACATTTAATTGGAACAGGCGCCATTATGTTCGCAGCTTTTAAGCTATTGGGATTTTTACATCTAGATGCCAGTGCTAATCAGAAGGCATTTTCTCTCTTTTCTATCTGTCTTCACTACCTGAAGTAGAGTTTAAAGCTTCTCAGGATATTTTGTAACTCATTAGCTTTTGGCATCCTTGACGGCGTATTGGCCAATATGATTCATTCTTTCTTTGAGTACAATTAGCCGTGAAAACAGATCTTAGAACAGACTCCCTCTGCCCCCAAAGGATTATTGAAGGTAGGAAATGCAGGTGATTATCGGAGTTTGCCTTTGATACAGACATCCTGCTCTTCTGCTAACCCTTTGAACTAACTTTGATATGCAATAATTAAGAGGGATTCAACCCCTGGAGGAGAAGCCGCTGTAGCCTTGCCTCTTCTCTCCCTCTATTGAGTCCTTGTTTTGAACTATTGATCAAACAGATCTGAAGGGATTTGTTGAAGCCTGTGTGGGGTAAGGAGGAAGGAAATGAAGGAGGAGGGAGGGGGGTGGAGAGAGATCAGGGGGGCACATCTGGTATAAATCGTTCCAGAAGGAATCTGCTGGTCAGACCTCGCTCATCCTATTTCACACACCTTACTTAGATGAAGATTTGTTTTTCCTTCAGGAAAAGCAGTTAGAGACGACTTGCAGGGTTTCCATTTTGGCAAAAGCTCTGTTGTGGGTTTACTGCTGCCCAGTTTAGAGAACGCGGAGAGAGTTGAGAAGGCCAAGGCGACTGAAGGATGGTGGTGGTGGTCTTGCTGGGGCTCGGCTGGTTCTGCGCCCCCCTGGGTGCTCTGGTTTTGGACTTCAACAACATCAAGAGCTCTGCCGATGTGCATGGGGCTCGGAAGGTAAAGCTCAACTGGGAGCAGGGGGCAAGTTCACTTGGGTAAGACTCACTGAGGTGTTAGCTGGCAAATGGGTGCACTGATTGATGGGACTCACTAGAGAGGAGAAATCAAGTAGGAATGGCACAAATACCCACATTATATTTAATTAAACTGTAGCACAGCTTCTAGAGGTAATAGATATATATCAAAAATCTCATAACCGTCTGTAGGACACACAGGGGACGACATTTTCTTCCATTTTCAGAGAGAGCATAAGAAAATTAAATCCGAGTTTTAAAAGTAGGACGATTTTTCGAACACGAGTAACCTATGCAACACATAGGTTTCTTCATTGGAGACTTGGTCTCTCCTTTGTGGGAGAAAACCAATTACATTGAAAAATTAAGGTGCCCTCCAAGATTTGTCACCGCATTCCAAGTGCCACGGTGATTTGGCTTCCTCCATCTCCCACTTTGAATTAAAAGACATCTTACATTGTGTTGGATTCCCTGGCCTGTGACAAGTTTTTCCCCACAGGGTTCACAGTGCCTGTCTGACAAGGACTGCAGTTCCAGAAAATTCTGTCTCAAGCCTCAAGATGAGAAGCCATTCTGTGCTACGTGTCACGGGTTACGAAGAAGGTGCCAGCGTAATGCCATGTGCTGTCCTGGAGCATTCTGCATGAACGGTAAGCTGTCATAACCCCCGCGGGACCGCTCTGCCCAGGGGGCAGCATCTGAACCTCCTACACTAGAATATCCCACGATAGGCACGCTCGAAAGATTTCCTGGATTTATACTTAAAGTAATTTATGCAGCTGCCTTTTCTTAATGCAACAAGTTTATTTAGTTTATTTCCTGGCAACAATTTTTGCCAACAACCTAGAGATAATGATTTTAAAGGAAAGGTTCAAGTTGGAACCTTATTAAGTCTTTCATTTTCACTTGGATTCCACTAATTACTTAACCACTTTCTTTGCCATATGTGCATGTAAATATTTAGTGCATATATCCCAGAAATCTTGAAAGTTATATATAAACTGAGGGCAGAAGTGCTGCCAAACTATGTAACAGTATGATGGTTAGCATGTCTGTGGTTCTAATCCTTGAACTTAGTAACTCAGACTACATCTGGTTGTTGCTCAGATGTTTGTACTACAATGGAAGATGCAACCCCAACATTGGAAAGGCAGATCGATGACCAAGATGATATAGAAACAAAAGGAACAATTGAGCATCCAATTCAGGAAAACAAACCCAAAAGAAACCCAAATATTAAGAAACCACAAGGCGGTAAGGGTAAGAGAAGCATTCTGTGCACCTCTTGTTGTTTGTTTGGGGTTTTTTTTTTTGGTCTGTTTGTTTTTTTAAGAAAAACACTTCTGGGGCACCTGGGTGACTCAGTTTGTTAAGCATCCAAATTGGGCACAGGTCATTATCTCACAGTTTTTTAGTATGAGCCCTACATAAGGCTCTGTGCTGACAGCTCAGAGCCTGGAGCCTGCTTTGGATTCTGTGTCTCCCTCTCTCTGCCCCTCCCCCACTTGTACATTGTGTCTCTGTCTCTTTCTGTCTCTGTGTCTCTCTAAAAAAATAAATAAACATTAAAGAAAAACATTTCCTCCTCCTAGGCTTTTAAAGATAGGCTGAAAAGTGATTTGATTCCTCTCCACTCCAGAACACACAGGGAGTACGTCCTGTTTCTCATCTTTCTGTAAGCAGCTCTGGAGCTCATACTGGGAGTAATATAAGGCAGTCAGCAAGAGGACTGGGGAATAGCCCTAATCATGAACTGGTTAGCAAGAAACTCTTTAACTGAATTTTACATACATATCTTTTTATAGTCTGTAATGTAACAAACGGCAGTTTCACCTTCTAGATCCTCAGGATGAAAAATAAAAGAGAAATGAAAGTAAATGCATTAACATTTTATTCTCAAACAAAAATACAAAACTTCACTGAAACGAAGCTTTTTACAAAACTGTAGTTTCAAATTCCAATCTGTGACAGAAATTAAGTAGAATGTTTGAAAGCAGTGAATTGGCCATTCTCGGGTCTTCAGGTTAATGGGCCCCTTTATAACTATTAGTCTTTGTGTCAGTATAAATCCCATAAAAAGAAACAAAACACTGATGAGGGATACTTATTTCATTCCTGGAGACCGGAAATCCCATCTTGCTTTGAAAATGTTGTTAACTTTATAAAACAACTTCTATTAGGTAGGGCTGAAGTTTCCATTTCATATACTTTTGGTAGGAGATCTAGCAGTGGGGGACCTGCATGCTGTTTTTATTCCTCCTCCGTGGCCTTCGTTCTGTACCCCACACCTTTACCCCAGCGATAACCCCTGACGCGCCACGTCCCCCGCTTCCTGCTGCAGCGCTTATAAATCTTGTTACAGGACAAGAGGGCGAAAGATGCCTTAGAACTTTGGACTGTGGAGCTGGACTCTGCTGTGCTCGTCATTTCTGGACTAAAATTTGTAAGCCGGTCCTGTTGGAGGGACAGGTCTGCTCTAGGAGAGGGCACAAAAATACTGCTCAGGCTCCAGAAATCTTCCAGCGCTGTGAGTGTGGTCCCGGGCTAGTATGTCGAAATCAAGTGACCGGCAACCGACAACACGCACGGTTAAGAGTATGCCAAAAGATCTAAAAAGCTGTAAAGATTTCAAAATAAAGACAACTCCTTATTGTATTCAAACAGAAATCTCAGACATTAATTAAAAATCTGGGTGGCTCAGCTGGTTAAGTGTCCGACTCTTGGTTTCAGCTCAGCTTGTGATCTCATGACTGGCTGGATCAAGCCCTGCCTTGGGCTCCGGGCTGACGGTGCGGAGCTTGCTTGGGATTCTCTCTCTGTCCCCTCCCCAGCTCATGCTCTCTCTCTCAAAATAAATAAATAAACTTAAAAAAAAAAAAAACCCACCTTTCCATACATATATTCCTGAAAATCAAATCTTGTAGTGGCCGAGATAGACTGAGCCAGAGCACTGTGATGTGCTGCCTTGTGATGAATGAAAACCAGCCTTGGTTTTTTGTCTATTTCTGCAGGAAAGAAATGTGATTCCACAACAGAAAAGTTTCATTTGATCTAGTGACTCAGTTAGTTCAAGTAAATCTTTACTTCACTTCCAGTGAAATTCTGGTACCTGACAGTAGCGTGGGGGAGGAAAGTGAATGGTTTCTGCAGTTAATTCTTATATCTTACTGGCAAAAATTATCACAGTAAATTAAGGAAAAAAACTTCCTTAAAATCCCTGATTTTTTTTTTTCCCTTGTAAGGGAAATATCACTTCACTACAAAATAATTTGGTTAATAAAGAAACAAGATTCAGGCGCCTGGGTGGCTCAGTCAGTTAAGTGTCAGACTTTGGCTCAGGTCATGATCTCATGGTTTTTGAGTTTGAGCCCTGCGTCGGGCTCTGTGCTGACAGCTCAGAGCCTGGAGCCTGCTTCAGATTCTCGGTCTCCCTTTCTCTCTGTACTCTCCCACTCATGCTCTGTCTTTTTCTCTCTCTAAAATAAACAAACATTAAAAAAAGAAATAAGATTCAAAAGGTAACATTTTATGTGTATACAGTTCTTTGCAAGTTACAAAGCATTTACTTGCATGCAGTTTTCAATAGCTTTAACCACTTGATAACTTTTTACATTTTATATTTATACAACTTTTAATTATATAAATTAATCTAATTTATATACATTAACTTAAATTATTAAATTATATTAATTTAATTATATAGATTATATAATTTCAAAGCTAAGATCTTCAAGGAGTGCTTTCACTTATATGTTTGACCATTTGAACTTAAAAAGTTACCTTGGAGGGTAACTAGGGCAAATAAGCAAAATTTTTGTTTGTTTGAAGTTGAGGCGGCCATATTTTGTGCATACAGGTGCACATTATAAGTGGTTTTGCCTAGGGAAGCTCTTTCTGATGAATTACAACCAATTTTAGATTTAAGAGAGAAATCACACAAGAGATAAACCTATACTTAGGTCTTAAGTATATATGACAAAACTGAATGTGGGGGCCGAGCCTCCAAAGGAAATAAATTTATGAAGTTCCCTAATTTCTAAAAAATACTGAACCACCTTCCAGTGCCCAGTCTCTGGTATGTCCTGACTAATTTGTTATTAGTAAATAGGAGGGAAAGGAGGTAGGGTATTGTGGCTTATATAGCATAAGGGCGAAAAAGGAGAAAATAAAAATTCCCATTGAACACTGCTAACATCTCATCTCTTCATTCTTTCCACTAAGTCCTTAGTAAAGTGTGATGGTGAACGTAACATGATATGCTGTTTGCTAATTAAATCAGAATAAGATTATCTGATAATAGTAAGAGAGGCTTTATTGACTACAGTGCAAGCTAAAGCATGGAGAAGAAATAATCACTTAAACACACCAAGACCCTTACATAGCAAAGGTTAAGAAATAAATTAAGACTCCCGTTGAGTTGAGCTGTGCCTGGGAAGAACAGGCCTCATTCACTTCGATCCTTGGGCTCTCGGTACTTCCACTGGATGTAGTCAAAGATGTCTTTCTCACTGTCCACTGGCAGAGGCTCTCCAGCAACTCCTACGAGTACAGAGAGAAGAAACTTAACCACAAACCAGTTTTGGAATTTGGTTATGAGGGTGCAGGGAAGACAGCTGTATGGGGCTCAATTTCAGAAGAAAAAGAAAATGGTAACCAAGCCACCAAAAAATGATTATTGACCGCCCTGCCCCGCATCCTCCCACACGGCTTGTGTTTGAGCTTTGTCACATATACTCACCGTCCTACAAAAGTAACCTGAGCATCCCAACTGGAGCCACTGAAGTGACCCTAATCCATGATTTCCTTCTCTGCTGGATCTCAACCAGAGCCACCACAGATCATATGAAATACTCTCGTTTCCTTTGCAGCTCAAAATGTGGTCCCTGGACCAGCATCACCTGGGAGCTTTCTAGAAATGTAGAATCTTGGGTCCCCCTATTAGAATCTTCATTTAATGAGGTCCCCATGTGTCTCATACACACACTTATGTGCAAGAAGCACTGTCCTCATCTACAGGGAAGAAAGCCCTATTTTATACTTGGAGGACAAAATGACAAAATCTTCATTTTCCTAGTAGAGAACAATAAACCACACAGTGGTGAAATGCTAACAAGCATGGATTAAGCAATTCTTACTCTTTAAACTTTTCATTTATTTATTAATTTTATTTTTGAGTAATCTCTACATCCAACTTGGAGTTTGAACCCACAACCCCAAGATTAAGAACTGCACGCTCCACTGAGCCACCCAGGCACCCCTAAACTTTTTTTGGTATTTAAAAAAATTTTTTTAAGTAAGCTCTATGCCCAAAGTGGGGTTTGAACTCATGACCCTGACATCAAGAGTTGCATGCTCTACTGACTGAGCCAGCCAGGTGTCCCAAGTCTTCAGAAGTTTTGGAGATACATTAAAGACAAACAAACAAACAAAAAACCCACTTTAAACCAGTAAGATTTTTTTTTTTTACTGACCATCACATTAACTCATTCTAATAGAGCTAGAAATAACTTTTGCCATCATGGACTTCAAATGAGGGCTTGACAGCACGTATGGATTAAAGGCCCTTTTGTTGCCCCAGGGACTCACGATACAAAGAAACTACACTTAACTGGCATACTGACTTAAAGGCTTTTTAGAGAAACCAAAGCTGCTAAACCAAAACATATCTGAAAATAACTTTCTCTCCAGATGACTGGGGTTATGTCTAATGCACACCCAAGTACCCACCAGTGACTCCCAAGGGACGGATTGTGTATTCATTGATTGTGAAGCCTTTTTCTAGGGCATGAGCTCTCATATTCTTATTGAAAATATCACTCCCAGTGAAATAGAGAACACCACAGTAATACTGATCCTTGGGTATCAACCTAAAATAAATAAGTAAGTAAGTAAGTAAACAAATTTCACCACACATTTCAAATTTAGCAAAAATAAGATTCTTATCATCAGTAAGGCACAAAACACCTAAAATAAGCCTATGTGGTTTAATAACCTAAGGAGGAGACTATCATTAGGTAGATTGTTCAAATTCCTCCGACCTTGCAGTTAATCTGAGTTTCAGTAAACTATGCTCTGGAAGAGGTACGGAGAAACGACAAGCAGTATCACTTATTAACAACCAACATTCCTCAGCCTGGAAACTACTTTTGAGTTGTGGAAGGTATCATGGTGAGATGCAAATCTAGAGAAAATAGATTGTGTAGACAGTCATTAATCTTTATATATTTTCAGGCTACACACCATCTACAGCAAGAACATACAGCCAGCCCTCTAGAATGAAAGAGGGTTCTAGACATTTATATGAATTCTAAGATATACAGAAGACAAAGGAAAGAGAAAAGAGTGAAAAGTTAATAGGTCAGCAACAAATCTTGAGTAATACCTTATATCAATTCTCCTGTGTGGATACTCCTTTTCATCATTTTTTCTGGGAAGCTGGCAAACACCCTAAAATGGATATTTCAAAGAATGCTTAAAGACGTTTTCAAACTTCAGGCTTAACATTCAGAATAGAATGTTGTTAAATATGAGGTTTTTGCTTTAAGTGCAAGCAGTTTTTGAATTCTGAGCACTTTCGGGGGGGCCTGGATGGTTGAGTTGGTTAAGCTTCGGATTTCGGCTCAGGTCATGATCTCGTGGTCCACGGGTTCGAGCCCCGCATCGGACTCAGTGCTGACAGCTCAGAGCCTGGAGCCTGCTTCCGATCTTGTCTCTCTCTCTCTCTCTCTCTGCCCCTCCCTCACTCATGCTCTGTCTCTCTCTTAAAAATAAACAAACATAAAAAAAAGAATTCTGAGCACTTTAGTTGGCTTTTCTTTGTGCTGTCTATTGTCACCACCTTCCTGTTACACTTTGTGGCAAATAAAGAAGTACATGCAACAGCAGGCAAGGATTCTAGGTATGAGGATTTGGCCTTTATAGGATTCTAAACAAAAAGCTAACCAGGGAAAGCATCAAACATGAAAGACATAAACCAAAAGAAACAGAGAAAAGCAATTTGGAAGAAACAATCACTACTCAGGGAGAAGAACACAAAAGAGCTAGGAGTAATATTCTCAGATAACAGAAAATATTCTATCCACGAAGTAGGGGCAGAATCCCACAGGAAAAAAAAAATAAAGTAAAAGGTTTCAATCAAATTTAAACTATGATAGCAGAAGTAGAGTATAAAACTGAAGAAACCTCCCAGAAATTGGAAAAGACAGAGATGAAAAATAAGAAAAATTTAAAAGATAAGAAAATTAGAGGACGATTCTCCTCCTTTACAAGTGAGTTTTTATTATACTTCTACAGTTTTCAAACACAAGTTATCAAGGTCTATTTAGTAATCTTTTCCTTTTCTAGAAAAATGGACCAAAATTCTGGACTAGGGAGCAAGCCATAAATACGTAAAAAGAGCTACAAACATCAGAAATTTCAAATTAAATGTTTCAAATGTCACATTCTAAGAAAAGTACACCCGTGATAGGCTTCTGGTCCTAAAGAACAGTCGATTAAGTACACGTCACTAAAAGCTATACTTTTTCACTCAGTAACGCGGAAAAATTATAATCTAGAATCTAAAATGGGTATTTTCTTTAGCTCTTCCTATGGCTGAAAGATGAAATGAAACCTGTTTATCTTCAAAATATGAAAGCTACCTTCTTAGGCATTAACAAGTTCCAACTGAACCTTCAAATGGATCAGCAACGCTTTCCACCTGGAATTACCGTGAGGTATTACCTTGCGGATATGGCTGTTTGGGTGCCACAGGCA